TTTTTACACCTTTTAGGGATGAAGGAAGAAAACTACTTGGTACCAGAGGCAAAAGGAAGACTGAGCTTAATTACAAAGATTCAGAAAAATTCACATGGTGGCTTTTTAAAAAAGAACAATTCCTTCCTCTTATCTCAAGGCAAACCATTTATTTACCAAGAAGCATAAATACTGTTTTATTTTAATCCTGTAAAAAATTTTTGAAGTTATATGCTTCTTTATTGACAGATCCTGGAGACTGAGATTTAACCTTGTAATCTGAAAGTCCTACTAACATATACGTGCAATCTGAACAGCTGACTACTCTCCAAAGCCCCCGGAGGAACTAAACAGCTACATCAATTCATAAACTGCTTGCTCAAATGAAAACTCCACAATGAAATGATCCTTTTGACAGAACAACTCTTCTGAATGCTTGGGAGGAGAAAAATTTTAAGTGACAGAACAAAGTTACATTATTGATTCACCATGTTAAAAGATCCAGTGTACGTCACCTCAAAGCAGAGATTTATTCACAATGTATAATCAACACGTGGAGTGATGCAACAGTGAAAATGACTGCATATGCAGTCATTTATGACACCACTTTACATTTGACTAGAACACCACTTAATTATAACACCACTTTACATTTGACTAGAACAGTTTACAAGGCACTTACACCCATAAACTCGTTTGACTCTGTACATCCTTCAACTTAAGTACAATAGATATAAGATATGGTCCATCTGGATAAGAGAAGCTATGCACTAAAATGGTTAAGAGCAGGGAATCTCGGGCCAACTGCCTGGTTTGGACCCCTAGCATTGCCACTTACTAGATATGCGATTCCGAGTACATTACTCAACATCCCCACCTCAGTTTCATCATCTATTAAATGGGGATAATAATCATTTCTACCTCTTTGACCCACTAAGGATTAAACTAATTAATATATGTCAAGCACTTAAAATAGTGTCCAGCACAAAGTAACCATATATATTGTACATTCTAACTGTACTTATCAGCAGCAGCATTGTAAGGCCAGGGAAACAAGCTAGTAAGTCACAGAGCCAGGAATAGAAACCAGATCTTTTTCTCCCATTTGAAGCTTCATCCACAGAAAGATGGGTTTGTTGTTATTTTTAAGTGTCCTAAGGTTTTCTAGATTAATATAAACAGTTTAATGTGGAATTATACAAGTAAAATATGCAGCAGCTCAAAACATTGATAAAGTTGTATTGTAATCTATGTTTGCATATTTATATTAATTATTAAAAAATAAATTTTCCACTTTGGGGACAGAACTATACATTAAGAAACCATTACCTGTGTTGCTATTATCTGCAAAACAAAACTTCTGTTTTGCTTTTCAAAATACAGATCAAAAAAGGCAACAAGCCTATCATAACATATCACGTTAATTGCTTCAAATTCTTTATCAGACAAAAGAACAACCTAGAAGAAATGCAGTTAACCCTTGAACAATGCAGGGGTTAAGGGCACCAAACCTCACACATGTGAAAACCAAATCCACATATAACTTTTCACTTCCTCAAAACTTGAGCTGCACCTCATCCACAGAGGATTGATTCTAGAATCCCCCATAATGCTCAAGTCCAGGACATAAACTGGCACACAGTTGGCCCTGCACACCCAACTCCCAAACGTGGATCAAAAACAGTTCAGGTATTTACTGGAAAAAAAAATCCCATATACAAGGAGACCTGTATAGTTCAAACATGTCATTCAAGGGTCAACTACATACTAGGATGATCATAATGCCTGTACTCTGATTTCCTTTCTTTTTCCTTTCTGGTTCTCAACACTTTCAGTATTATGAGATAAAGTTACTTTTTAAATGGTTTCCAATAAAGTTCATCAAGATTTGAAAATATTGATTAAAAAACACTTAGAAATTAATTCTGGGCAATAACATATGCCCAGCTGCACAATGCCCTCTTTTTTCAGACATGTTTTAGGTATCTTTCCTCAGACTCTGTTTGAACTTTTTCCCTTTAGTGATTTAGGTGACTGATAACTTCCACTGCATCTAAAAATAGGGCGTGGCTGTGTAAATTTATGAGCTGACATGCAAAACTGGCACTAGATGCCTACATTAAAGTACTAAATCATTTAACATACTCTAGTATAAAAATGTTTCTAAGCACTGATACCCACATGCTTTGTATACACTGTATATATAATTTTAATTCAAGCATATTTAATATTTCCAAACGAAGTGAAAAAATATAAAGTCATAAACTTTCTAACATTCCCAAATATGTCAAATCACTTCTTAACAAATTAACTTGGACAAAGTACTTCTCTACCCCAGGCCTTTGAACAAGGTGGGTAGAACATCACTGGTCCTCAACTCTTCCACCCCAGCCCATCTGAGGGATTCAACATCTCTCCACTTACTGCAGAGGGGACAGTCTGAAAATATCACGCAAGGGGTTCTGGGACACTACGCTGGAAGCTGCGCCCCTGCCCTCTGCTCGGCTCCACTCCACTACTTCAGAGTTCTCTGAGGCCATACACAGTTCTCAAGTCTGCTGCCACATTACGTACAGAAAAATCACAACCCCAGGAGCCTGGAAGGTATCTGACAGTGTTAATTAATTAATTTATTTTTATTGAATTTTAGAGAGAAAGGGAGGGAGGGTGGAAGGCAAGGAGAGAAAGAGACAGAGAAAGGCTGAGAGACCAGCATCGAATTGCTGTTACACTCCTCCATGCTCTCATCAGGTGATTCCTGCATGCGCCCTAACTGGGGATCAAACCTGCCACCCTGATGTATCATGCCGGTGCCCAACCAAACAAGCTACCTGGCAAGGGACAGCAGTGTTACTCTGAAATGCTCAAAAAAGAAGGGCTAAATGTTACTGTGCATCTTCTGCAGTGGGAATATGCAAGACGCAAATAAGAACCTGTCTACTGGTGCTATCGAGGAGAGCTTCATAGCTCTATATACGATGAACAGTACATCTTACCTAGAATTGGCTTCCAATCAAGTGGCTAAAGGAGGAGGAAAAGTGGGAAGTCAAACAAAATAATGCCCCCTAAAGTTTGAGGGAATGGTGTGAACATGTGATTAATGGAAAGGCAACTTGTGCAAGTGAAGTCTTCTGATAACAGAAAAGGAAAGCCAAAGACTGACACGTGGAGATGTGATGTTACATGATCCCCAATTTCGTCTCCTAAATATCAACTTTTGCAGGTCTGACATCAATTCTAAGTGATTTTTTTAATCAGTCAACCCTCCTGTAAACTAAAAATAACTGTAACTATAAAAATATGGTTTGTGCATATGCCACATTACAAATGTTAGTCAAATGCATTAGTTCAGCATGGTGAATGACAGTTGCCCAGGATGGTATTTACAAATAGTGTCCATTTTCTTTGAAGTCCTACTCACTGTGGACAAATTCTCCACTATTTAAAAGCCATCATATATGCAAAGTCTCATGAAAAATGCTCATAGCTAGGAAGGAGAAAATGCAATTTTACAACATTCTTGGAAAAGGTGTATTATTTAAGTGCCAGACGATATTACATCATCATTAATAAGTACATAAGGTATAGCAAAGATTCTGGCTGGGGCTTAAAAACTAGGTTGCTTATATGTAAAAAAAAAATGTATGACTGCATTATCTCCAAACCAGAAAACATATTAATAAATGCTAATTAGATATGCTTTATAGTAAGAGGACCCTTAAAGGCACAAAAAACAACAATGACTCATAGATTTGAAACAAACAAAAAAAATGTGTAGGTCTGAAAGTTGCTGTCCTCTGTACAGAAAGATGTCACCAGCGGTGACTGAGAATATAATGTATACATCTCTGTCATTGCTCTCTTGATAACATGTTGATAAAAATTTTTGGAAGGCACCGATTTCTTCTGCAATCACTTATAAAACACGCTGTCCATTCTTGGCTTAACTTGCTGAATGCACTCCCAATTTCAACAACAAATTCTCAATGCTCTCCTCATGAACGTGAACTATAACTCTAAAACCTAAAACTGGCATTACTGGGCAGACCACTAACTCAACAACAAATAAAACTGAACAGAGAGAAAATGGCCCAACCCCAATATTGGAAAATGTTCACATCTGATACAGTAGCAATAAATATGCACAAGATGATAATTCCTTACAGTTGGAACAGATATTTCTTGAATGAATATATACATTTCTTCCTCATTCTAAACCCATGTGTCAAAGCATCAAACAATTTAATTGCGCCAGTTTCTGTTGTGTCTCAAACTTTACATGTAAGTTTATCATGAAAGGGAGGAAAAAAACCTGTTTGGCTGCCTCACTGTGAATCACAGCCAGGAGGTCATCTTGTGTACCAGCAACTATGTTTTCACTACAGCTATGTGACCTAAAGTGGCAGCAAGAGAGGCACCAAAATAGAAGGAGCAGGAGGCTTCTCCTGGCTTCTGGGCCCCAAATCGGCTTTTCCAGCCCATTCGGGTATCTGAGCAAGAGCCAACCGCAAAGGAGAGAAAGAACAAACCCAACAGATCCGAGGAAAAGGGCTGCAGGCCCACCACACCTTCCTTGCCCTCATCGGGAGCCCGGGGAAGCAAAAAGATAACAGAGAATGGGATTAAGAAACAGCAAAAAGAAAAAACAGCATGACAGAGGCCAAAACTAGCCCAGTGTAGGGCACAAATCCAGCGGTGACTGTGAAGCCCCGATTTCGGGAGCTTCAGATCTGGAGCTGCAGATCTGGAGACAGAGTAGGAAGGTCTCCAGATCACAGGTCCAGCCCGAGCACCGGGGGCCCTTTGCCTCCAAGCACCTCCAGCCACCCAGGACCGATCCCTGCTCCCACACCACTTGTCCGGTGCCGCTGGCCCGGCCCGCGTCTCCGGCCTCGGGTACCCGCCCCTGCTCGCCCTTCCATCCCGTGCCCTCTCGGTGAGTCGCTTGGGAACACCGCCCGGGTCAGTGCGGGCTGGGACCGAAGCCGCCCCGGCGCCCCAGGCCTGCCCCCAGCACTCACTTTCTGAATCCGCTTCAGCGCCATGGGTCAGGGAGGACGGCGGGGACACCGGCCGGCGGGGGACGGCTGCGGGGCTCGGGCGTGGGGTCGCTGCGGGCGCGGCTCGCTGGTGCTTCGGCGGGCTCAGCCCGGCGGGTCCCCGGCTCGCTGCTGGCTGGCTCGCTCCGGGAGCCTGCTCCTGCTCCGTGTGCGCCCGAGCGCGAGTGTGCGCGAGGACTGTGCGGGCGGGGACACCGGCGAGACTCTTTTGTTTCCGCTTTTACTTCTGGGAAGGAGCCTGCGCTCTCCCCGCCCGCGCCCCGCCCCTCCGGGCACCCTGGGAAGTGTAGTTCCCGCCCGGCCTCCTCCGCGGCCAGCAGGGGCGCCGCCCGCTGACTCACCGCTGACCTCCGCTGCAGCTGGGGCTGACGACCGCCTGGGGCTCCAGTGGTTCTCTGCAGTTTGATCTGGATCCAGTTACTGAACCTGTCGGTCCCGATCTGGGAAGTGGGGGTAATAAATTAGTTTGTAAAGCGCTTACAGGAATTTCTAATGTGCTATATAGCTGATCTTGTTATTTTTACAGATTTCACTCAAATACATGAATTTCTCACCCTCCAAGCATGCACACACTCATACCTACCTAGTTCCTATTGCAAAAGGCGCCTCCTTTGTGCAATGCCAATCTCGCCTGTCTCCTTCCCTTAGAATTCTGAATTCTGAGCTTCGTCTTCACCGTTGGCTCCTTCCCTTCCACTGACAGTACGTGCTCAGGGCAGTCAACTCACACTCCTAAATCCCTTCATTCTTGTGAACTTGTGTGCTCATTAAAACTTGGCTTCTGCTCTCAGCACAAGCAGAATCGGTTTTCACCAATGTCACTCTTGAGCTTTTCTAATTACCGAATCCAATGCGCTACTTACCCACTTACTCTCTGCGGTGTTTCTGAACCGTTTGATTGTGGGCCACCTGTATACTTTTCCTAACGCTCACCGCCTCTGGCTTCCACGGGACCGTGCTAGCTGGGTCTTCTACTTCCCTGAGTTTCCCTTTTCTGTCACTAGCTCCTCTTTTCAAGGGTGCCCCAGAATTCCAAACTTTGGTTTCTCATCATCCACGTCTTCCTAAAAGACCCTGAACCCTGCTATAAACTGGGAGGCCACCCAGGGCAGTCGGAGGAACATGGGTTTTGTAGACTGACCAGTACCCTGAGATGGAATCCCAGCTCTGAACACCCACCGGTTGACTTTCTCTAAGCCACTTAAACTCTCTAAGCCTCAATTTCATCATCTGTCATTAGAGATAATAATCTCTAGATATATTATTGTAAAAAATTAACTGACATTAATATATATAATGTGCCAAACATAGTATCTAATATGTTGAAAGTGCTCACATCTGCTTCAGCCTTATATTTCCAAAAGCTTACTGGGTGTGGTCACCTTTCTTCTAGGAATGCCAGTCCATTACTACAAAATGGGGTGGAGGAAAGCTTTCCAGGAAACTCAAACACTAGCTACCACGGTAAAGGCTTACAAAGAGCAAGAAACAAAAAATCCACTCGAGTAAGTTAAAAAGAAATGTACAGGGGAATCGGATAGTGAAAAAAATGATAGAAATAAATCAGTGAGATCTAAAACTTAATTTGGAAGTCTCACCTTCCCTCTGCCAAATAATAATAGTAATAATAATAATAATAAAGAAGAAAGAAAAGGAGAAGAAGAAGATGACTTTGACAAGTCTAGAACCTGGCTACTTTCTTACTTTCCTTTTTACAGGGTCTCACCTCTCTCTGCTGATTGGCTTGACTTCCCCTTCCAGTGCTCCCTTAGGTCCTCCTACACAAGGCTTGAGCTTGTACCATCCTTACTCCACTTTTTGACAATCTCCCAGCAACTGCTTCTGCTGCTAAAATGGCCAAGCTTTTTGGTATCCCCATTTCATCTCCCTAAAAGGAAGACTCTCACTGATGCAACTCATCGTTTTACTCCAAGGTATAAACTGTCAGCTAGTGAACAAAGTACAGATAGACAACCCTTGGGTTAAGGTGGCCACCCATGGTCCAATCAGCTTTAGGAAGTCTGAAGTACTTTTGGGTGAAGAGGCTTCTGAAACACCCTAGCAAGGCCTTATCCTGTAGAGAGGCTAGCTTTATGCACTGATTTTGTACTCCAGAAAGTGGGATCCAACTGCCACATTGTCCTTCCTTTTTTATGGGGAAAGCATAAGAATGTCCTTGTAAATAGGAGATAAATAGTCTGGGCTTGGGCACCAGCTGCTTTGGGAAGTTGCCTTCTCAAGCTGATAGTGTTTGAATATCATGTCAGAAGTTGTGTTCAGAGAATGCCTTATGGGGAAGCACTAGTTGCTGGTAGCTCATTGCCAGTAAGCCCAGGAAAAAACCTCCCTGGAAGATCTAACCTTGGTGTATCAGACAACACTCTAACCAACTGAACTACCTGGCTAGGAATACATGAATTAATTTGCATCATTTTTTAAAAGATTTAAAAAAATTATTTATAGACAGAGAGGAAGGGAGGGAGAAAGAAAGGGAGAGAAACATCAGTGTGTGGTTGCCTGTCACGTGCCCCACACCAGGGAACCCGGCCTGCAACCCAGGCATGTGCTCTGACTGGGAATCGAACCAACAACCCTTCGATTTGCTGACTGGCGCTCATTCCACTGAGCCACACCAGCCAGGGCTCATTTGTATAATTTTTAAAGATTTTTTAAAATTTACTTTTAGAGAGAGCAGAAGGGAGAGAAACAGAGAGGGAAAGAAACAACAACATGTGAGAGAAACATCAGTTGGTTGCCTTGTGCACTCCTCCAACTAGGGGCCTGGCCCGCAACCCAGGCATGTGCCCTGACTGGGAATTGACCCAGCGACCTTTGGTTCACAGGCTGGCACTCAATCCACTGAGCCACACCAGGCAGGGCTGTATATATATTTTTTAAAGAAGCAGCAATGACAATGTAGCAGAGCCCTGCCTTCATCACCTCCCAAATTTCTTCTCTAAACTGAAGAATGTTTCCAGGAGAAAATGGCCCAAATCAACTGAATTCAAATTTTTAATGTGAAAAAGATTAAGGCAGTCATAGTCCTAAAGCAGAAAGCTATATGTAGAGAGAATTTTATTGCTTAATTATATGTGTACTCCTTTGCAGAGTTCTTCCTTCTCAGGTAGGTAGCTACCTATCTCTCTCTCTCTTTCTTAATTTCATTTAACAATTTTCTCTGGCACTGGGGAATCTCTTTCCTCTCCATAAGTATTTTCAGAATTTTGTCCTTTCATCCTTTGATATGAATTTTTATATTAGGCTATGATATAAATATTTTGGGTGAAGCCTTTAAACTTCACCCCCTACACTTTATTGCTCTGAGAATTCTTGCTCTATTTTACAACAGTTGCAATTCTGCAATTCTGCAACTGTTGTAAAATATTGGGTCGGCCAAAAAGTTCATTTGGATTTTTCCATAAGGTGCCTCTAGCACTGCTTACTTGCCTCTAACTTCACTTGAAACAATTTTGTTAGATTGTATTGCAACAGCTGCTGTATCAGCATGCATTTTTCAAAAACTTATCACAATTGGAAGACTTCCACCAAGATGGAGGCGTAGGTGGAAACATTGTGCCTACTCGCACAACCAAGTTTAAAGACAACAAAATTTTAGTAACAGAAATGCAGCCAAAACACAGAAAATTGAACTATACGGCAACAATAATCATTCAGCCAGACCGGTAAGAGGGGTGGAGCCAGCAGTAAAACAGGGTCAGGCAGGAAAGATCCCCTGACCCAGGCGGGCAAGTGAATTCATTTGTGGGAGAATCCCAGGTGTGGGGTGGCAACACGTGGACTCAGTGAGGGCGCAAGGCGACAGGCTGACCATAGTCACACATTCGCACACAGATAAACCAGCAAAGGAGCAAGCAGTGAGACAGACCACTCAAGCCCCAGCAGTGGGAAGCAGCAGAGGGGACCACTATTGCCCCTCTTTGACCCCGTCCCCACATGCAGCGTCACAACCCAGTGACCTGGGTCACCCCGCACTGGTGAACATCTAAGGCTCCGCCCTTCATACTAACAGGCTCAAACAGACCAAAACATTGTGGCTCAAGCAGAACAGCTCAAAGTCCCAGACCCAATACTTCTAAGAGACCAAGAGATAGCCAACCTTTCAGATGCACAGTTCAAAAACACTGGTGATCAGGATGCTCACAGAACTGGTTGATTTTAGTCACAAATTAGAGGAACAAATGAAGGCTACACTAAGTGAAATGAAGCAAAATGCACAGGAAACCAATAGTGATGGAAAGGAACCTGGAACTCAAATCAAGGGAGTGGACCAGAAGGAAGGAAAAAATGACCAAACAGAAAAATATGAAGAAACAAGAATTCAAAAAAATGAGGTGGCTTAGGAACCTCCAGGATATCTTTAAACATTCCAACGTCCAAATTATAGGGGTACCAGAAGGGGAAGAGGAACAGCAACAAATGGAACACTTATTTGAACAAATAATAAAGGAGAACTTCCCAATCTGGCAAAGGAAATAGACTTCCAGGAAATCCAGGAAGCTCAGAGTCCCAAAGAAGTTGGACAAAAGGAGTAACACATCAAGGCACATCATCATTATATTAGCCAAGATTAAAATGAAGAAGAGAATTCTAGAAGCAGCAAGAGATAAGGGGACAGTCACCTACAAAGGACTTCCCATCAGACTGTCAGCTGATTTCTCAAAAGAGACCTTACAGGCAAGAAGGGGCTGGAAAGAAGTATTCCAGGTCACAAAAACCAAAGATCTACAACCAAGATTGCTCTATTCAGCAAAGCTTTCATTTAGAATGGAAGGGCAGATAAAGTGCTTCTCAGATAAGATCAAATTCAAGGAGTTCATCATCACCAAGCCCTTTTTATATGAAATGTTAAAGGGACTTACCCAAGAAAAAGAAGATAAAAAAGATGAACAGTGAAAGGACAGCAAACTCACAGTTATTAACAACCACACCTAAAACAAAAGCAAACTAAGAGGAGAGCTAGATCAGGAGCAGAACCATAGAAATGAAGATCACATGGAGGGTTAGCAACAGGGCAGTGGGAGAAGGAGAAGGGGGGAGAAGGTACAGAGAATAAGTAGCATAGATGGTAGGTAGAAAATAGACAGCGGGAGGGCCAGAATAGTATGGGAAATATAGAATCTAAAGAACTTGAGACACATGGTCATAAACTAAATGGGGGGGAATGGTGGGGACGGGGTTGT